CCTATGGCAGAGTGTACTGCTTGGAGCAACTGTGGGTGCCACTTGTTTGCAGAATGCTGGGGGAGAGGAGGAGCTAGTGTGTGTACCTCCTTGCACAGGTATTGGGCACTGTGGTGCCCTAAAAGGCATCTTGTGGCACCCTAGGGTGCTGGGCACCATGGTTGAGAATCACTGTTCTGCTGGGTTTTGTTGATATGTGGCCTCATGCTGCTGGTGCTTATGGTTTTCCTAGGATAACTAGGGTAGCACTGAGAGTCAATGTCTGCATTTTTTGAGCATTAAGCCCATTGCCAAATGGGTATATTTTACTTGTTAAGGTAATAAAAATTTGCATAGTTGTCCAGATTGATTGATTGTAAGTTAAATGCAAGTGACAAGCAAAATACTAGTACAGTCTGTTAAATATGTGCACTACTAAAATAGCCTTTCTTTTCCAAATAGGTGTTTTTTAACACCAAGGGAACAAGTTAATGAGGTGAATACCATTGACTAATTGCTTTTTTGTGGTTCTTGGGGATTCAGGCACATATCTGCACTTTAAACAGCTCATCTGAGGATTTTTTATATGCCTGGGGTGGAGGGAAGAGGCTCAGTGAAACCAAGGACTGGGATATAAATTCAAATCCCCCCTTATCAAATATGTATCCTTTGATCTAATAAGTAGGTTGAGTCTCGCCTGACTTCTCAGTGAAAAGAAGAAGAAAATGTAATGCTGTTTTAAAAAAATGCAGTTATTAAACTTGGATATCAGAATTCTCTTAGTTTCACATATTGGTTAACTGTTCTGTTACAGGATTTCCTTAATGACATAAACCATGAAATTAGTATCAAACTGCTTTTCCAGGTGGCATATGGAGTTCTTTATGTATGTACATACACATTTGCACAGGTTGTTTTAAAAGTGCACCAGAATACATTCTAATACAACTTACCAGTGACTAAAACTGAAAAGTAATTAGCAAAATATTGCTCATGATTTATCATGCTACAAACCACAGACCAAAACTTCAGGGGGGGAACACTCCTCTACTCCATGTGATTGACAGGTCTGGTTTTGCCCCCATGCTGCAAGCAGGCTGAATTAGTCATTGTAATGGATCTGTTGCTCCATTATTCAAAAAGGGACGTTTTCAACTAAACACAGATAAATTATCCTATTATTTTTTCATAACATGATTACTAATTACTTTTGCTTTGTGGGTGCAACTTGATGGAGAGTCTGTGGCTGTCATTCTCAGGGAAGAAAGAAATATTATAGATTGTTAGGAACATTAATAGAAAGTAATTCATATTACCTTTCTATCAGAAAAGTCATAGTTACTTTAATCTGTTGTTCAGAGTAATCTACCTGCTTACAGGGCACCTCTTACTTCATCAGTCTTGCACATTTTCACAGATTCTTTTTTTTTCCAGGATGGCCCTTATTTTTACTTAAATTAGAAGGCCAATTGATTATCTCTCTTGTAGACTTTGTTTTTCTCCCTTTTTGGCTTGGGTCTATGTAACATAGATCTTCTCTGTGTGTTTTCTGGTACTCTATGTTGCTTTCCTCATCAGACCAGTCTTGACAAGAGGCTGTTCAAGACTCAGTATTTTCGCTTGTACCGGGATTTGTCAAACAGTTGTGTTTGTTATAGTGCCTGCTGGCTTGCAACACCTGAGATCATTTTAAGGTTTTGTTTTCAAACAAATCTGAACATCATCATCATCTGTGTTTTGTATGCTTTGGAGTCAAACTATAAACCTGTATGCTGTAGGTGTAGGAAAAAGGAAGATGTTTGCACATGACTGTCCCCACATGACAGGCCAAGTCTCTGATTTCACTACAGAAGGGTTGCATATCTCTAATGGTAGCTTGAATTTGTGTTCAGGGGCGGACATTGGGAACTCTATAGCTATTCATTAAAGAGATTTACCTTTTAAGTCTCTGCTGAATTTAGTGTCCAGCTGGAGACCTTATCCCCAGAGCTGGTCAAATGTCTCATTGCCAACAGTATTACTAGCGAGTATTGATGAACGTTTATAGACGTGCTCGGAGGGGGTGGGGGGTGCTTTAATTACTGAGCCGTGATAATTAAAAGCACTCGAGCATCACATGTATCAGCGTCCCTGTGCTGAAAAAATGGCAGTGGGGCACTGTGGACTAAAGCTTATTTGACAAGCTTTAGTTCAAAGCACCATGCCACCATTTTCAAGGCAGGAACGCTGATATACATGATGCTGGAGGTTTTTGGGGTGTGTTAATTTCCATGCTCTAGCAGACTCAATTAATCTGGTCTGGATTTACAGTGTATTGCAGCAGCCTCCCTACGCATGTATAAGTGTCTAATATGTTTAAATTCAGAAAGTAGGTATATATACTTTGTTTTCATTATTCAGCCCAGTTCTATGGTTTAAGCCAGATGCATCAGAGAAACAGCTTGCAAAACTGTCATCAAACCCATGGGATGGCAAACTCTTCTAATTCAGTGGGGATGGCACCTGCCACCAAAATTCAGGGTATGGAGCTTCACTGGTGACACGTTTTCATGGTGACAGATCAACAATGACTGAATTAATTCCCATGATTCTCTGATGCTGCTTGCCCCACTGTCAGAGGTGAGTGCAGATCTGATCCATGAGGAGACCCATGTTCCACATCTAGCCCAGGGAGCTCAGTAGAGTTTTATGCCCCTAGTTTAAGCAGTTATATTCTGTGAATTAGGATGGCAGCAGATTTCAGGACTTTTTCTACAATAATTAACTGCAAACTATTTTTTCATTCTTTTTCCAACTGGATTTATATCCAGAGTAGAAATTCTCTTCTGTCACTATATCTGCAGAATCCCACAGCCACTGACTTGTAGCTGTTGCCCTTAAGGAGAGAGGGCAGAAATTATCACACTGAATCCATTTCACTAAAAGAGATTGTGGTATCAGAAAGCTAGACCAGTGGCTGCGCAGCACAAAGAGATAAGACTGGGCCAGTATTCTTAAGCAAATACCCAAGCACTAATAATCAAAAAGAGGTACAGAAAAACACAGGCCAAATACTGGAAACTGCTTTCTGTATAACAATTCTTGCATTTTTAATTCTACCTTTCTGCACTTTGTGTAAATTATATCTCTTTGAAGGCCTTTGTGTAATCTTGGTGAAGACTATGAAGACTAAGGTCTGTTGACCATGACATGAAGATTATGTGTATTATAAATGCCTGCAACATGGCTACAACCAAAAGCCCAGCTACATGGATAGATTGTACTAGCTAGGGAGAGCTTCCTCCCTCTGGTTCCCACCCATTCCTGAAGGGATTTAGTCAGAAGTAAACTGTTTTAAAAAATTCCCTTACTACCAATCTATTAGTAATGCATGCTTTGGTGAAGAAAGGGGGCCTGGATCATAAAAGGGTATTATGAATGGACAGAGTGTTTGTTAAATGGCATATTAGTACAAGAGCAGGGCATCGTATTGAGGGTGGAGGAGGGAATGTTTATCATATTTTCATACACCCCATCTGACTCCTAGCACATGCATGCAGAGTGCTAAGACATCTGAGCTCATCTGCTGTGGGCATATAGGGCCTGATCCTATGCCACAAATAAGACATCTAGGTGCAATCCTGTCCTATGCTGCTTTTAAAACTGTTATTGCAAAAGGTGGATGGGTCTTTGAAGCTTTTCGTGACTTGTTCATAAGGCTAACAAAGGGGAGAGGCATTAATGGCTTTTTAGGGACTCAAACAGGGGGGAAAAGCATTGCACTTAGATGCTTAGATGCCTATGTGCCATTTAAATACCAGGTAGGTGGAATGGGATCTGTCCCACACTGCAGCGTGTGTTTATAGTAGAGTGATGAGATTTGTTTAACAGATGGCTGATCGGGATTGTCTTTGTTGGCTCTGTTGACCTTTATTGTAAATTGCTGTGGGATAGCTGCATTATTAGACGACTCTATAAATAGCCATTATACTGTGGGAATGTTATTACAAAAATGAACGTTACACAAACAGTTTGTCTTTGCATTTTGTGGAGGATGTGTGTGTTGGGCTCACAAAAGGAGAACTCTTCTCAACATACTTACACCTGCTGCTCTGACCAGTCTAGCTGAAGGAAGAGCCTATAAAATGTTTTAAGTTGTTGCCAGGAGACCATGCCGTCCTGATGTGTGCAGTGCAATAATTTTGATAAGCCTACAGTCCAAGGGCTGCCTAGTGTTATAGCAGCAGCTTGTGAACTGTCAATGGAGGGGACAGAATTTAAGGCTGAACTTGCATGGTGGGCTGGGAGGATGTGGGGAGCGTCTGGTGTAAGGGTACACAGCCCTTGGAGCCTGGGAGGACTTCTGACTAATGCTTTAGCTAGCATCTATGGCATTTGCAGGGAGTCACATCCTTCTAAGTTTGAGGATTTCTGCAACACAGAGCCCAAAGAGGTAGAGATGAAGTAATGGGGAAAGAGACAGGAATGTCTCCTTGAAGTAATTCATCAAAAAGGCACTGTATGATATTTTCCTGACCACAACAGTATCAGTTTTCTATGTCAGGTATTTTGCTGGTGAGCTGGAAGACACTTTCCACTCTCAGTTGTCTGAATAAAAACCACAGTGTATTGTGTTCCTTTTCTGAAGATCTCTTTTCATCCCTTTCAGAAAAGTAATTTTATATTCAGTGAGGCAAGTAGTCCTGATATCAAAGAAGAGGGATTTCTGTTTAAAATCTATGCTAAGCTTGGCCCAGTAGATTTTTGCCATCTAGTCTGGGGGTTTGGGGTGGCGGGTGGCGGGGGTAACTGCTCTGCATAAGAACATTTTTGGCTATCAGTCTTGCCTTGTTCCTTTACTAAGCTGCTTTTGCATTCTCCTTATGCTCTTTCTGACTCCTCATGGGCTCTCCCTGTTCTCAGCAGTACAAAATAACTTCTACCACTAGTTCAGCCAAACTGAAATGTAGACATGTTGCTTCTTCAGATTTCTAGAAAAAAAAATCTATCTCTGTTTGTTGTTTTTTCTTTTCACCTTGCAGGAAAGCAATCTCCAGGTCAGGCCTCCAGCACTTGGCCCCTGTGCATTCCCTCAACATCGCAGTCTCCAATGGGCCTGTGAAGGAGCCACGAACAGCACTAGAATGGACTGTAGGTGTTTGTTTTTATGGCAATTTACCTGAACAGTATCTTCTGCCAGTGCTGTCACCCTTCATTTATTTGTGTGTGGATCGTCATCAGCAATCCCTCAATTCAAGGATGATCTCTACTATGGCTCATTGATGGGTCTTGAGGTGTCTTAAGAGTGTGGATAAGTTAGGTGCAATAAGAGGGCTGATGTTGGCTACATTAGGTCTGGTCATTATGAGGTGCTGAGAACTCAAACCTTGTTCCAGCAGAGTGCATAAGCATGTGAATATTCCCATTAGTCAACAGGACTGCATGTGTTTAAAGTTAAGCATGTAGCTATATCCTTTATGAGCTGCTTGCTCAAGTGCTCAGCATCTGATACGATCAAGCCCTCACACAGGCAATGAAGTGTGTGTTGTGTGTTTGAGAGATTTTTCTTTCCTTTGGAACCTGTTTTTGTGCTTTAGGTAGAGATAATCTATATATCAAGACTGGATGGCTTTCTCAATAGTGTTCTCTGTCCCAGCCACAACTGCAGAGGCTAATGATTAAATTAGATGATCTCACTAGTCCCCTCTGACTTTAAAATCTGTAGGTGAGCACAGAGCAGAGTGTTAAAAAGTTGAATTGCCCCAGAGTTTGAGAGAGCCAAAGGAAAATCCAAAGGTATTGGATTTACAAAGACCTAGATCTTGTTCTTCAGGAAACCTTTAGAACCTAATCAGGAAGGGGTTTAAACACCCACTTTTCTTTAATCCCAAATCCTGTCCTGTTGCTGTCAGTGGGACTGCTCAGATGATGTATTAGACACAGGCAGACTTCAGTGTCTTCCTGAATTGTAGTTTAAATCATAGCTTCACTCTTGAAACATAGCATTGTACAACGCACACCTGCCCACATGACTGCTCACATAACCCCGCATAAAAGTATGCCAGTGGAACTCATGGCTCTAGGGAGGTGTTACATACAGAACATTTTTGAAAGGTTATTTGGATTAATTTGTGTTATGCTTGGAAAGGACATTTTTGCAACTAGTCTCTCTGCCTTCATTACCACAAGACAGTATTAACAATGTCTATAGCAGCTCCATCAGTTCTGTCCTAACTTTCCTTTAGTATTTCTCTTGAGGGTGATTCAGAGACCTTCTGTGTCACATATTGCAGTGTCTAACTGATATCATGGCCAAAAAGTGTTGCTTAAACTAGTAGAATAAATGTTTCTTTCCTTATGTGTCTATGGTGATACCTGAAAATAATTCCCTGTCCATGTTCTTCATTATTAGTAACGCCACGCAGGATATTTGTGGTTGTCATATTAGAAGTAGTATGGGGTACTAGCTTGGGACTCAGGAATCCTGAGTTCTATTTTAAGCTCTGCCATCGGCTTCCTGGATGAGGTCAGGTGAGTTGCTTCACCTGAATGTCCTTCTGTTTTCCTATTTTGAAAAATGGGGAAAATTTTACTTACTCCCTGTAAGATGCATTGATAAAGTGCCAGGTGATGGTAGAGGTTTCCTTTCTTTCCTCACATGTGTAAAAATTCTTAGCTTCATTGGTCTCATACAGTCGCATTTTTTAAACTTGCTATGCCTTTTGTCACCCTTTGGCTTGTCTTTAATTTTCTGAGGCAAGTGATTTTGTACTATAAGATACGGGTTGGCAACCTATGGCCTGTGGGCCAGATCCAGCCTGTGGAGACTTTGGATCCAGCCTGGAGCTATGGCTTTGGTGGCATTTGGTGGTGGGGGGATTCTCCCTGCACTGCACTGCAGTGTACCACCAGGGGCTCTGGTGGAGAGGGAGCTCTGTCCATGCTGTGCCCCAGTTGAATGGCATGGACACTGGTGGAAGGGGGCTTTCACTGTACCACAGCTGTGTGGTGGGGGAAAGCAGTGGTGGTAGTCAGGTCTTATCGCCTGCCTTCCTCCCTCCAACTTGAGCTGTGTCATTTTGCACCCCCATGGGAAAGGCATCCCGTGTTATAAAAGCAACCCCAAAGATGTCCTGTGTGCATTCTCCCAAAAGCTTATGCATCACTCCCACCTGTGACTGGTCCATGATGCCAGCTACCATTGTCCAATTATTAAATGTTTAAATAAGTGCCTTTGTGCTTCTTATCATGCTGCCCCTAAGACATGGGAGAAGCTACCCATAAACTGTAAAGCTACTTCATTATTCTTCCTCAATCCTTTCTTAAAACTCTCCCTTTTTTTGATGCTTCCAAAAAACTAGTCAGCAGCTCCTGGTGCACTGATACCTCTAGTGATCATGTTGGCCAACATTGTCTCATTGTTTCATGCTGCTCTCTGTCTTCATCTATTTGTTGTCTCATCTTTATTTTAGAAGCAGGGGTCATCTTTCTATTTGGTGCTTGTGTGGTCTATAGGGCTCCTAAGTGCTACAGTAATACAAATAGCACATAACAGTATGTAGTGCATATCTCTGCAATATATTGTTTGAAGGGATATTCACATAGCTCTATAGCTGTATGACACACATCCTTTTAAAACAGTGGTTCTCAACCATTTTTGTACCAGGACCCATTTGTGAACATTGATGGACAGTTCTGGCCCTCAGCCCTGCTGGTGCACCTCATTCCTGACCCACCGCTCCCTGTCTCTGCTGATGACCCTTGGTCCCAAGCCACAGACACCTGGCCCTGCTGGTGCCCCTCACTCCCGACTCACAGTCCCCTGCCCCTCTATGACATGCTGGTGTTCATCACTCCCAACCTGCAGCCCCCTGTCTCCCCCCAGCCCTGCTGGAGGGGACCCCCAGCTGCCCTATCCTGCTTAGGCTGGAGTGCAGTGGCTCCAGCGGCTCCAGCTCATGTGGATGGCAGTGGAGTGAGTCCAGCCCTGGCATTGGCTAGAGGGAGGAGGAGGAGGAGGAGGAGGAGAGGCCTGTGGTACCCTTCCCTGCCCTGGGCTGGGGTTCCCATGCCATGCTAGGCAACCTGGTCACAGCCCCTCCTGCCCCCCTAGCAGCGTCTCCTGATTGCCCTGCCCCTGTGAGTATGGGCATCTGTCTCGGTGCCACTGGCTCAGCTACGTAGCTCCCTCCCACTCCCTTCCCTGCTGGAGGGGCAGATGCCTTCCCTCCTGCCCCCCCTGCCCTGATGCAGCCTTGGCACCTGGCCATCTTCCCCCAGTGCTGGCAGGCACATGTCCCCACCTCACATACCCATCCCCTCCACACTCACACACCCCTAGACACCCAAGCCCTGGACCTCCAACCTCCACTCCCCATATACTCACTTGCATCCAGCTGCTGGGGCTGCACATGCTGCTGTATGCACACATACATGTGCACCTGCTGCCTTCAATCACCCCAAGCAACTGTTTACAGGCTCTGGAAGGGGAAACCCATGCTTTCGTGCATTTTTCTGGGACTTGCTCACCACCCTTTCAAATATTCTCGTGACCCACTTTTGGGTTACAACCCATGGGTTGAAAAACACAGCTTTAAAAAGGCCTTTGAGGAACCTATGAACATACTTTGAAATAAGTAGCAAAATTCAGGTTTGGACTCTTAGGTGTATTCTCTGAATGGACAGTTGCTATTTTAATCCTCTGCTGCATGATGTACACATTTATGGAAAAGTCCTGTATAGCTGAACAGGAATTAACCCTATAGGACCTAATGGATAAATAACAGATTTATACTAATATTACTCTAAAAACCATCACATTTAATAGAGGATGATAAAATACTCCTATGATTTTTTTTTCACCCCATGCCCTCATTATAATATAGTTTGGCAGGATTATTGTATTTTCTTATATACAACATGCCTCCCAAATAAGACATGCACCTTCTTTTGGGAAGGCAGAATGAAGAAAAAAATGTTCTAGTCATGGCTAAATTCTGGCTGCATGGAGCAAGGGCAGGGTCTACTTATCAGCATTGCTCGCTCTTCCTTCCTACTCAGTCAAAAGCTAGAGGTTTAACCCTGTCACAGTTGCTGCCAATTTGGCAGTGGCTGTGATGAGGTTAAACTTCTTGCTTTTGGCTGAGCAGTAAAGATAGGGTGATTGATGGTGAACATGGGACTGCCCTCCTCCATGTGGCTGGGATAGAGGAAGATGTGGCAGCCATTCCAGTGCTCCTATGCCTCCATTCCAGCATAGATATCAGGTTCCTCTCTTAAAACATGTTTCTCAGTTTTGGATAGCTAATTTTTGGGATCAGATGTATGTGGTCTGCGATATATACAAGACGGATTTAAAATGTCATATATAAACTCGAATCCCACTGGCATTCACTAATTGCAACACTGGTCCTGATGAATGCATTTCTTTTCCATATGAATGCCCTGCCTTCTAAATTATCATTTCATATCCTAATTTGTACACCAAATTATGTCTCTTCCCATTAAACTTTCTGCAAGACTAAGTCTTGTAATTGGGAACTAAGTATGCGAAGGCATACATCATCAGATATTCACATGAGGAAGGAGAGCCCTTGGGTATGTATGTTCCATTGCCCATTTAAACTAGCCTACTCTTTAGTAGTTATTGTAACAAATAGTAGTGACTCCCTAAATTTTCCATAGAGTTAAAAATCACTGACATTTTACACAGAAACTGTCTGAAGGAATATTTTTATGATTAATGATCATACTTGCTGCTTCTCCTTCAGCATTGTTTTTTTTCTGAGAGAATTCCTTGAAGAGAGATTTTTTTCAAGATGGTTGTGATCTCTCATTCTCAAAGGGAACGAGGCTACTGTAGCTTAACAAACATGATCCCCTTCCCCCTTTCAAATGGCTGTTACCCTCTGTTGCTTCCAAATGGAGTGAAACTAAAATGCCTTAGGTTAAGACAATAGCCTTTGGCAGTATAGGGAAGTTACCATCTTGGCTTCACTCATCCATGTTGAAGAATGCTTATTATGCAGCTTCTACTTAAAGATACACTTTTAAACTTTTAAGTACTCAATGCCGTTTTTATCTCAGTCTTCACAGGCTAGGTCAGCTTCCAGACTATAGCACCTGGCAGCACAGTTTGGGGAGGAGGTGAG